GGAAAAGTGGCGGAACCAGGGTACTAGTTTGTTGTAAAATTCTTGTATAGTTTGATCCTTTTTGCAGTTTTGCGAACAGGAATAGATTATAAAGTGCCCATGCTCATTTCAAAACTTCTCAAAGCTCACAAAGTTCCATGTTCAAAATTTTATTTTTGAGTTTTGCTAGAATACATTTACATAGTAAAAAAAAAAAATCTATAACATATTTTTCTCATACTGTACATTTCTGTAGCAGCTCTTTTCACCCTCTGCTTGAAACGCTCTGGTTTTTGGTTCCTGTCTCTTTAAAGCCCTGTCCTTCCTAAAAGCCCAGTCTGCTTTGATTGGTCAATCAGCGCAGTATGTTGTGATTGGTCAACCGCTTGGAGCATGTTTTGGAAATGTAATGGCTCTTACCATAATTGAGTTTTAGCTCCCTAGGATTCATCACTATTTATTGCCCTCGCAATAAATAAATAAAACAGCATCTCCTCTACATAAAATCATTGACCCAACTGTAATTTGAGGGCGGGTCAAAGCAGCCAATAGGCTGACATTATGCATGGTGACAAGTCATAATGGAAGAACTACAAATGAGGAACTTCAGGCAAGTGTTTTCTTTTGAGAGATATTCTTTTTTTTTTTTGATGTTTGCTGTGGCCTTTTTGCTTTGTTACTTTGCAGATTGTTTACATGCACAAACAGCTATATTAAACACTAAAGGAAAGGTTAATAAAAGTAATACACTTCTTTTTTTTTGGCAACAGTCTATTTTTAATGCAGTCTGTAAACATTTAGTTGTTATTAGTATGGCTAAAAATGTAATTCAGTAGTGACATGCAAAGTGATTTTGCCTTGGATAAGTTTGTTGTGTTAAAAAATAATATCCAACTTTATATTAAGTTCTGGGCAATAATATATCAGAATAAGCAGTTGAGATTTGCTGTGTCTATATATAATTTTACACGAGGGTACTTTGTGTATGCGAATAATTTTTGTGAAAAGCTATTTATTTTTGCAACAATATTAAATCATGCACCAAAGATTTTCTATATAGTATAAATATGGTGTAAGTAGCAAAAGCCATTTTCTTAAAGGGATAGTAAAAAACAAACAAACAAACAAACAATAAAATTACATACTCTATGACTTACTTTCTGGCAAAAAACTATTTCCCATGCAATAAAAGCCAGTTCAACATCTTTTGTGAAAAGGAAAAAGGAAAGCATACAGGTTTTGAATAATGTGAGAATGAATAAGTAATTCGAATTTTCATATTTGTGACCCTGGACCACAAAACCTGGGGTATATTTGTAGCAATAGCCAAAAATACATTGTATGGGTCAAAATTATCAATTTTTCTTTTATGTCAAAAATCATTAGGATATTAATTAAAGATCATGTTCCATGAAGATATTTTGTAAATTTCGTATCATAAATATATCAAAACTTAATTTTTGATTAGTAATATGCATTGCAAAAAACTTCATTTGTCATATCACTTTAATAACATCATCTTCACGGAAGTGACATCATTTTGGAGGGAAACCAACCAAACAAATATCACCAAGTCTAGAACATTCCTTACTGTTTGATAAAATCCCGCAAATTAGTACAATAGTATGACTGTTAAGTAAAAACGTGGGTTACTTTGCGAAACTCTCATGAATGACTTTGTTCGTTGCAGTAGATGTGTGTTATTTCAGCTGACGCAGCTATTGTGATCATATTGAAGGTTTTGAACTTTTGCTTGTCCTCTCAGGAGTGATGTACCGAAAAAGAAGTCTCTTAAAATCACTGCTCTGTTCCTCAGACCTCTGAAGAGCCGTAATCGCATGTGACGTTAATCAAGTCTTCTTGCCCGAGGCTCGTGTATATCAGCTCAATGCAGCAGGTGAGAGGTCTTTACACAGAAATGAGCTTGTCTGAGTTACATCAGATAGGAGAGCGATAGAGGTAATACTTTCATCAGGAGAAAAGATGACAGGGATGCTTTGGCTTCAGAGCTGCGGAAGAACGAGAGTCGGGACAGAATAAAGGCATCGTGCTTTATGATCACTAGGATGGGCTGACAGAGACAAAGTCTAAAGATATTCAAAGACAGTCTCACATTCTGTAGTAAAATCCCAAATAAACTTACTTTAGTCCAGACATGTTATAAGTCACAAAAAGGCTTTAAAAGGGGAAATATGTGTGGAATGTAGTGTAGTTCAGTTAAAAAAAATATATTTTTTTGGATAAAACATTCACTACCTTTCAAAAAGTTTACATTTTTTATTTTATTTTATTTTATTCAGCAAGGATGCAACAAATCGATCAAAAGTAAACAGTAAACAATAAAGACATTTATAATGTTACAAAAGATTTCAAATCAGTGCTGTTGCTTTGAACTTTATATTCATCAAAGATCCAATGTTGCACGGTTTCAACAAAAATATGAAGCAGCACAACTATTTTCAGCATTTATAATACTCATAAATATTTCTTGAGCAGCAAATCAGCATATCAGAATGATTTCTGAAGGATCATGTGACACTGAAGACTGAGTAATGATGCTGAAAATTCAGCTTTGATGAATATGAAATGTTATATGAAATTGTAATAACTTAAAAAAAAATTTTTTTTAAAATAATTTTTTGATTAAATAAATGCATACATTAGCTTTTTGTGAAAATCAGACTGAAATTTAATTTGTTATTCCCCTCCCAATATAGTTTTCAAATTTCAACGTGTTAGTGTATTTTCAGATGTCATATGAAAACACGTCGCATCAGGTTTCAGATCTTGCAGGTTTGAAATTGTGATGTGGTTGGAGGATTTTCACATTTTTGGAATGATTTCAGTGAATCACAACTTAAAAGACTTGGAATATAATGCATATTTTTGTGGCCTTTTTAGACCACAACAGCATATATCCTCATTCACTTCCACTGTATGAAAAAGAGCAGTGTAAACGTTCGGCCTCATACAAATTTGGAGGGACAAAAGGGTGAGTAAAAGATGACAGAATTTTAATTTGTTGTATCCCTTTAATCAAATAAATTTAGTGTTATCTGCCCTCATCTGGCCATGACTGGAATTTCACCATATGTTGCTATGACCTCAACACATAAAATAAATATGCCAGTGTTCTTCTTCATACCTTCATACAGTCCTTCATTCTCCATGTGTTTCCCAGCAAGACCACATGCTCCTGCCTGATGACCCCCTCAAATCCTCCTGTCTGACCATGCTGCACCTCCCTCCCCCTCCTCCCTGCTCCTCCTCCTCCTCATCATCATCAGTCATCTACCATGTCTCTCCATGTCCCTCCTGTACAGCTCCGGCATCCTCTGGTTTAATTAAATGGCCAGGCACACACACACACACGCACACACACACACACACACAACACACACACACACACACGCACACACAAGCTCAAGCACTGATGATGATATACCCAGTCTTAAAGGCATAGTTCACCCAAAAATTCAAATTAATCATTTACTCCTGCTATTTCAAACTCATATGCTGTTACTTTTCCATGCAGCACAAACGGAGATGTTCTTCAGAAAATTTGTGCACAATATTCCTAGTCTTCTGAAGTCATACGATGTTTGTGTGGCATACAGACTGAAATTGATCTTGTAAATAGTCTGCCATAGCTCACAAATCAAATATGGCACAGGTTGGACATCAGTTATATCAAATGTCATTGGTTCTCCTGTGCCTTGCAACCTAAAAAGTAACTGACATGAAACGTGATGCGAAGGCGCTATGCTTGATTGGAGGGCTGCTGCAAAGGGGAACATTTTTAGTCAATAGTGGCTTAAATTTTGTTCTGTTTCTCCAGTGCTGTTGTTAAATAAGCTAAAACTGTTAAAATCACTGTTTTCGTTAATTGAAATAAAGCTAAAATAAAATATAAATATTAGATGGAAAACTCAAATTAAATTGTTTAAAAAAAAAAATTATTTAAAAAAAAAATTTTTGGGAAAACTCAAATTAAATTGGACAAATCAAATTACATTTAAAAAAAATAAAAAATAAATTGGAAATGTTACCTCTGTAACTAAAATAAAAATTAGGGTGTTTTAATTGAAGGTGATGTACTAAAATGAAAACTGAAATAAAATAATTACAATAAAAATACATATTTCTAAAAGACTAACTGATAAAAATTATAAAAGCAGATTACAAAAGTTCTGAAACTTGAACTTAAACTACAATGACAAATGAAAATAAAAGATAAACACAGTATTGAAGTTAAATTGAAATATTGAAAAGATACTGAATAAATTCAAAACAAAATGTATTCAAAATCCATATGAATGAATTTTATTCCTCCAGTGTTGTTGTTTTTAATTAAATTAAAACTATCGAAAAAAAAATTTTGTTCATTGAAAAAGCTAAAACAAAACACAAATATTAGACGAAATACAAAAACTTAAATGAAAATGATAAATGCTGCCTTAGCACCTAACTAATATAATATTTTAAAATAAATATTTAAAATTACTACAACTAAACCTGAAATAAAAATAAATGAAAGCTAAATAAAAATAATACAATTATGACAAAAGCCTAAACAGAGTTGCTAAAACTGAAAATAAGTTAATTCTAAATAATTATCACTAATAGTATAGAAATGTTACTAAAATCACACTGTATCTATTGAACAGCTTCAGAAGACCTAGAAATAGCATATATGTCACTTCTATAGTGCTTCCCCCCCCCCTTTTGGAGTTTTATAAAGGATCTGTTATTGCATAAAAAAGAGTGATGGGTGTATATTTTAAAAAAATCTATTCTTCTGTGTTCCACAGAAAGAAAAAACAGCATTCAGGTTTGAATAACATGAGGGTGAGTAAATAATGAGCTATTCCTTTAAGCCGAAACAGTGGATGGAGAGAGGGATGAATACAGAGGAGTCTAACCCTTCTGTTTATTCGCTGCCGTTAGGTCTGCGCTTGTGCTTTACTCCCATCACTCCCTCCCTTTCCCATTGGCTGCTTCCCTCTCCCACACACAGACACGGACACACACACACACTCACGCACTGGCTCTGAGCTCAGACTCCAGAGTTGACGTTCTCGAGCGGAGGTCGAGAGAGGGACAGATGGGATCCGCACACGACGCTCTGTGCAGCACTGATCACGACCGAGACATTGAGAAGAGACTCTGGCATGGAAAAGAGGACAGCGAGACGGAGGAAAGAAGATGTTACGGAATCAGCAGGATGGGATTGAGAAACCTGAGCATCGCAGAAGCTTCCTGAAGACGACAACAAGATCTCTTTTTAGTTTCCAGCGCTTCTGAAAAGGACAGTTTTGAACGTCTCATGCACTCGTGCTCGGCTCGAACGGGAAGTTTCTGGTGAGTAACTTTCGCTTGTTGTATAAAGGACCGTTTCCCTGCATGGATTGGTCAGATTGAGTTTCCGAAAGGGAAGGAGGTTTATGTTTGGGTTGTCCACATGTGCAAAAGTCAAAACGCAAGCGTTAAGAGAGGATCCGGCTGGATCTGAGCAGCTGTGCTCTACATTCGTGCTCTATGAGATCGCACGAATGGGAAGACAAAACAGCACAGTCAGTTCTTCAGCCTCCACACACACACACACACACACACACACACAGTCAAACATATCAGTGCTTCATTGCATTCATGCTGACACAAACTATAATACTCATGAAAGCACATGCAGTTTTTCAGATCGTTCTGTTGGGTCAGACGAGAAACGACATGAAAGTCGGCTGCTTTGAGATAAACTGGTGTTTAGTTGAACTAAATTCGCCAGGTACAAAGCACCTGAATTCAAAGGACAGTGTGAGTCAGAGTGTGTGTGTGTGTTTTGTGAATAACAGAATGAAAGTGCAACGCTGAGAACTGCAGAGGTCATTGCAGATTCACAACCTTGTGTTGTGGGGAGCTGGTCGATTGTGGAAGTTGGTTTGGGTACACAGATGTGTTGCCTTTAAATGTAAAAGTCTAACACCAGACCTGTCAGATGTGCAAAGTGGTCTTCTTTAAGACAGTGGCAGGCAAATTGAGGCAATTACATGTCCATAAATATTGTTTACTGGCCTTGAAACTGTATTTTGTTTTATGTACCATTCAAAATTTTGGGCTCAGTAAGATTTTTTATTATTTTTTAAATTAATACTTTTATTTAGGAAGGATGCATTAAATGGTTTAAAAGCGACAGTAAAAATTTACATGGTTACAAAAATGTTCCATTTCAAATAAATGCTGTTCTTTTCAACCTATTAATCAAAGAGTCTTGAATTAGGCTTTCCCCAAAAATATGAAGCAGCACAGATGTTTTCAACACAATATAAACATTGATAATAATAAATGTTTCTTGAGCAAATCAGCATATTAGAATGATTTCTGAAGGATCATGTGACACTGAAGACTGGAGTAATGATGCTGAAAATTCAGCTTTGCATCACAGGAATAAATTACATTTTACAACATGTTCGAATAGGAAAGTGTTAGTATAAATGGTAAAATTATTTCACAATATTTCTAGTATTACTGTATTTTTGATGAAAGAAATGCAGCCTTTGTGAGCAGAAAAGCCTTCTTTCAAAAACATTAACAAATTGTTCATCCATTGTTTCATTCTCTGCATCTTTCATTAGCTAGTCTATTGGTGAAACCGATGAGAGTTGCTTTTGTCGGGAATATACGAAAATGAGGGTTAGATATGTTGCTTTTTGCAATTTTAATCATGCATTGTGCTTAGTGTTTGTATCTATTTAAATCACTCACATCAAAGTTGTCACTCTGTCATTATTATGTTGCAAATTCATAGATTTTCAAAATTAAAAAAACAAGCAAAGGTCAAAGTATCATTTTAATATTGCGGTTTTAAACCATGGATTATGAAAAAGTTCACCTGACTTGGATTTTATCCAATTGGGAATTGACTGGAAAGTGGGCGTGGCATACCCAAATAGAGTCAGCTGATTGGAGGGCAAATGGTCGAATATTTATGATGTCATCCGAAAAGGAAAGACAATTCAGAAAGAAGGAATGTTCTTATATTTTAACAAAACATTACAAAGACAAACATGAATTTATTCGCATTAACATGCACCTGTGAATCGTGCACAACGAGACCCGGAAGGTTTAAGTCATTAAGAAAGTAAATGGGGTTAATGCCGATTTAATGCAGACTGTAATTTTGGACCGTTCATGTAGATGTTTAATCTTCACGTTGTGCTTGTGTGCTTCCAAATACCTGCTGCGGAGAATCTGGAAACTGCATTGAGATTCACAAACTAGGTTCTCCATTAACCATAAAGCCGGTGGAATGCATGTGCCGTCAGACGCTGTTTGTGTCACTCATTCACTTTCTGTCCGCTGTGTCACTCCCGCTCCGCATTCACTCGCATCTCGCCGTGAAGTTGCCTTCTCCCGGAGATCACATCACATCAGCGCTCCGGATGCACTTTTGGCTTCCAACCAGACACTTAACCTTCCTTATCCTCCTCAAACCTTCCACCCCAATTATCTCTTTCTCTCTCTCATCGCTTCCACGCTTGTAGACTCAGCCAAAATAGTGGATTTTCATTCTAGGGCCCTCGTATGAATGGGATCTGGAGTTGATAGTTTAGAGTTGATTATGGTCCTTTTTACATGAGATTCCCAGCAATTAGCCAGCTGGGCTCAGCGCGTGCTGGACGCAGGTCGTTATCGGCCCAGTGGGCGGAACCTGCGCACTTTAAGACCTGCCAAATGACGCATTTGGGAAGAGTATGTTAATCTAATCCCACCAATCAAAACATTAAAGATACGTACACAGAACCAAATGGTCAGGGTTTGACTGGTTAACATGGTCCAGTTAACCCCTGCTGGTAGATGGCGTAACTACACCTTCACGTCTAAAAAGCTTTCTTATTGAAAGGTTTTTATCTTGTTTTGCAGGACAAACATCTAAACACATTTAGATTTTTTAAGCAGATGAGTCTTGTTTTAAAATAGTTTTTTTCTTTCATCATTTGCAAATAGTTTCCTTTAAGCATAAACCTCACTACATTTTATTACATTACAAGTCTTAATATCTTATGCAATTTTGCATTTTAAAATAATAAAAACAGTTATTTTTAAGGACATTTAAATGTGCTTTTACTGCAAAACAAAAACATTGAATATAGAAAATTTCTCTGCTGACACTTATTCAAAAGTCATTTATTTGCAAGCAACATATAAATCGAAAATAGATTTATATTGTTAGACTAGAAGCCTTAATACCTTATGCATTTTTGCCTTTTAAAGAAAAGACATCTTGTTTTAAGGACACTTCAATATTTTACTGCAAAACAAAAACACTGAATAGAAAATAATTGTAATCATTTTGTAAATATTTGTTGATGCTCATTCAAAAGTATTTTTTGCTAAAAACATACAAACCTAAAATATTGAATGATATCTTAGCTGAAGATTTAAAACGTAATATTTGGTGATTTTTAATTTTTAATTATTTTCATACATTAAATATTTTATTTCATATTTTTTTATTTTCCACTTTATTTATTAAAATAATTTTAAGAATACTGTATAAAAGCTTACGTTACTGACGTATTGATCACGTAAGTCATAACTCATCAAAATAATTTAAAACAAGTTTCAACTTCATTTGTTATGAGTTTTCATAAGTTATATGAAATTCATTTCATTTTTTAAAGTTAGTTTAATATACAATATACAGTAATTCATGTTGAAATGCCTTGTACAGGCATTTTTTAATCTGTTAAAAGATTTGAACACCTTCCTTTCAGTTAAATGTGACAATTTGTCGATGAGGCAGCGTTTATTTGTTCCAGGCTTAGTCACAGTGAAATGTGCATTTTAAATGTCCATCTGGAGTTGTTAACCAGTGCTTCTCATCGCTTCATTTCTAATTGATAGCACTGTTGTGACATAGGCCTGATCACTTAGCCAACCAATGCATTTTTAATTATTCATGCATGATATTTTCATCCTCAATCTATAATGTTACTGCAATCCTGCTGAGTGACAGATCTGTTCCTATTAACACATGCACGTCAAGAAGATCTCAAGTGCTGGTTTTCATCTGGAGCCTCTGCTCCGGATGCAGTACAGCACTGAGATGTTTCCGGGCGGATGTTAGAGTGACATTCAGAAGATGCTTTCATGATGCTTGTGATTGAGAGTTTGTGAATTGGCCGTTTTTATGTGTGTGTGTGTGTGTTTGATGTGCATTTGATGGTTTTAGAAGGGATTTGAGCACTTTTCAGGCTTTGAGACCAGATGCTGGTCAGTTTTATTTTAAAGGGGTCATATGATGCTTTTTTAAAGATCATTATTTTGTGTATTTGGTGTAACAGAATATGTTGACATGCTTTAATGTTCAAAAAACACATTATTTTTCAAATACTGTACATTATTGTAGGTCCTATATGCCCCGCCTCTCTCAAACGCTTCGTTTTCTACAAAGTCCCTCCTTCAGACAAGTGCAGTCTGCTCTGATTGGCCAGCTGACCCAGCGCATTGTGATTGGCCGAACACCGCAAGCACTCGTCAGAAATGTAACGCCCCTTACCATAATCGCAAGCTTCATCTTTCAAAATAAATGTAAAGACAGAGCCCGAAAGGGAAACAGAGTCGCCGCATCATATGACCCCTTTAATAATGTTTTCTCTTATTATAGTAGTTATTAATAATTTGAATTATTCTGTAGCAGTTTGACTTAGATTTTCTGTTTGCATTTTTGTATTAATAGTTTTATTATTATGTGATTTTTTTTGTCATTTTATATTTTTATTTAGAATTAACTATATATTTTTATAATTTTTGAAATCTAATATTTTAGTTCTAATAATACGTTTAGTATTTTTAATACTTTTAACAATAACAACAACACTGGTGCTGGTTTAGTTCTTGCAGTTTTTCACCTAGGCTTTTTATTTTATCTTATTATCTTTATTTTTTATTTAGTACTGCTCTAATAAACCTACTTGGCATAACATATTTCACAAGACGCAGTAACTGAATTTACAAAAATAATCCTCACACACCGTTGCTTTTAAATATATTGTGTGTTTTCTCCTTGAGCATCAGTGACTGTTTGTTCTTTTGTGATGATTGTGCACAAGTCCTCGTTTCTCCTGAGCGGTGAAGCTGCCCACTGTTCTTGACAAAAATCCTGTAATTCTTCACATTCGAATTCTCAGCCATAGTGGCTCAATTATGGCGAGATCTAGCTTTGCCGCTCCAGACATCAGAGGGACTCATTCACAACTACCACAAAAGACTGCAAGCAACCGCTGAGGCTCAGAGAGGCAGTCTTAAGAACAAAGGGTGTGTGTTTGTATTTAAACAGGATAATTTGTGCAAATTTTTATTTT